GGTGCAAGTCCTTGCACTTTCTGAAACTTGCCTTCCTAAGGTCGGCACCCGTGCTGGTGCCATTTACCGCTTCGGGGGCGCGGGGGTGTGTGTCCTGCTCTGAATTCAGCCGGCAGGATGAGGTAGGCGGTGTGTGCAGTGTCACTCGGGTTTGGGCTGTACAGAAGTCACGGGTTTGGCTGCTCTGTTTTACCGCAGGTGGAGTGTTGTGTCAGCGGCAGAAGGCGGACACGCCGCTTTGGTCGCAGGTGCTGTGCCAATTCACGCTGGCTGGAGGGATACCCGGGAGCTGGAGCAGCCCCAGAGCTGTGTGGCTGCTCAGAGTGTGGTGGGAAGGCAGGGAAGGCTGGAGGCCCCAAGCCTGGGATGAGGGAGTCCCAACAACGTGGAACAGTTCTGGTGGATTTGTCTCTATCCCATGCTGTAGGTCGTACTCTCTGGGTTGAGGAGTGGAAAAGCAGCCCAGTGCCTTGACTCCGCTGACTGTGGCATTGCTGTTAACAAAAAGTGGGAGAGGGAAAAGGAATCGCCAGCGTCATGTGTTTTACAGTTTGACTGATCTAAAAACCAAGATCCTGTTTACATTAAAATTGCACTGATGCCTTTTCGTGCTGGTGTCACACTATTATGGTTAAGTCAGACGTTTGCCACACGCTGTGTTTGCATGCTTTAGTGTCCCAGTCACTGTTAACAATTGCATTGCTCTTGTGAAAACTATGTGTGTAACTGTCCTCATTATGTGATTGAATGGCAGCAGTATTCACTGCTGTAGCACTTGGTCAGTCACGGCAGCCTGATAATAGAAGCTTAAGCAGTTTTCAAACAAAAGTACCTCTCTGTAATAATATGATGTGTACACAGTGCTGATTTTAGATTTAAGAGATATAAATAGGTAATTCTTACGGATTGTGCATCCAAAACCAAAGAACTACAGATATTATTTGTTGGGATAGTGCCTTTTTTCCTGGAAATGGTATTGTGTGTCTTTATGCATTTTACATAAATGAATCTAAACTTGGAACACTCAGTGAAGACAAGAAAAAGTGAATACAGAAAGTAAGGACTAGGAAAATGAAAGTCTTGTTGTTGGCTGCACTTCCTGGCTTGGGTTAGGTACTGTTAAACCAGGAACTGTCAGGAGACTTCCATGCAGTGCTTGCAGTTGTGGCAGAAGGGAGTGGAAGGAAAGCAGGCAGTCCCTCACAATGGACTGGGCAGAAAAGAAATCAGTGTCCAAAGGGGATTAGAGGAAAAACTTAGCAACGTGTCATGCTTACATTCAAACAGAGGCTAGGTATGTTTGTCCCAGGTTTGTCAGCCACATTCCCCTCCACTTTCCTTCGTGCCTCTCCCTGAGCAGCAGGAGAAGCTGGTCACACCGTGTGGGCCTGTTACACTGGGATAGGAGCAGCTCTCAGTTATGGGCTGGGCTGTGCAGGAGGGCCAGTTCTGTCCTGTCTGATAGCTCTGAATGTTTCTATCCTTTTTATGTCAAATACAAGACACCTGGCGTGTTGTTCCAAACTCTGCAAAGTTTCCTCAACAAACAGGACTTTTTGTGACAGATCTGATGTGACACAGAAGCAGGAACTTGTGGCTGAGAGCGTGGCCTCTCCTCAGCAATCACCTGGGCACCTGCACAGCTGTTCTGTCCCTGAGCTGCTGGGGCTGGAGGGATGACACAGCTTCTGGCTGCTGGATCACAGAACTGATACAGCAAGGAAAATAAATGAGGAGATGTGGTTGTTTTTAAGCTGGAGTATCTCTGCTCCTGTGCTGGCACAACAGAGGTGGTGGCACTGAGGGAGAAACAAGTGGCTGTAGGCAGGGGCTGCTTGAGAGTTGTCTCTTCAGTGGGGTCCCTTTTGAACAGCAGTAATTCTCTGTGTGCAGCTGTATAATTTCTCCTGAAGACACATGGCTGTCTGGTATTTAAATTTAACTTCTAAAGAGCGAGTCACTTCTCTTTTTTTTATTTTTTTTAAGGGGACACTAGAAGGAGGTGTTCTAATATTTTGCTTGTGATTAATGGTGCTGAGCCCTCTGTAGTAAAAGGAATTAAAGTAATGGCACCAGAAATACATTGTACAATTGCTCTTTTTGCACAGAAGCTGTTTTCCTTTGAAAAATATTTGATTTGACATGCAAAGAATAAGAATTTTTGGTAAGTGGCTAAATCAAAGGCTGACCCAGACCTGCTCTTT